AAACGCATTATTTAAAATTTAAATTATCCTTGTCGCTGTACAATTGTTTCGTGTCGCTTTCGGCGAAGCCGATTCGTTGGCTTGGGCTCGCGTCGCCGCTTCCGACGACGTGCTCAAGGGGTTTCGCATTCGGCAAATTACTAATAATCGATTCTTATCACAGAAGTTATTTACACGATTTTTTGTTCATGTTTCAATACGCCCGCTCGCGTTTACGCAGCGGCGGGCAAAACGAGCTTCGTACCGACGAAGATGCGTACACTTATCCAATATATACGTATCCTTCTTGTCGTCCGTGTTTTTTTAATCGCGGCGAAGTTAATCGAGAAATCTAGCCGTTCTATCGGAAAGAGAACCGCGCACGCACGAAAAATCGGTGTAGCGTTTTATCCTTTCAGTCCCCAGTCAGAATTAAGAACTCGGACAATACTATGAGGAGGAATGTCTGTTTCAGCGAATATGCATGTTTCATTGAATAAAAATGTAAAATGTATTCACAATTGTAGCCAGGAAACTATAATTTTATTCATTTTTCCTATTTTCTATTAATTGTCATGTCTAGGAATTTTTATATATCTTTATATAATTATTATACTTGTATATTTATGAAAAAAAAAATGATGGTTATATTCGCGAACTGCTACTCTACAATTCTCTCTTGTCTAATGGTCTTTTACGTTGTCACCATTAAATAGTGTTACAATGGGCGTCGTGTAACCTAGTTTTTGCTGAATCGGGAAATTATTCGAAACTGAGAAGATTAAACGTGCAGATGTAGTAAAGTTTTCCAAACAAATCGCAACAGGCTGAAGAGAATTTTGCGCGCAAAGATAACCGTGTCTCTCATCCCTGGTCTCGGCCGGCACGAGGTTTCAACTTATTACGCAATATCGAGTAACCGACAAATTTACACGCGTAGCGCCACGCGCGCGTCGCCTCGCGCGAGTTTGTTGTTTAGATTAAGGATTGTAACAGCAACGACTTGTGATCGAATTTCTCTCTCATTTATCCCCGATCGAAGAAGGCCGATAAAGAAAGAACGTTTTCCCGCTAGTCGAATTATCCCGGAACGACGGACGAAGGGATGCCGCGACCCCCCGTCGCTGTAAAAATGTCGGTTTTTACCTTCGGCCCACTAATTAATTCGGATTAGCCTTACGGAATCGATACACCGTCGCCAAAAGCTCGCGTTGCACGATTAAATGCGGACGCGTTATTGTAACAATTTGCCCCAACGGTTATATCCTTAAAGTCAACCGACGAATTCGGGATATGTCGTGATATCGCTTGAGCTCCCCGTCTGTCTGTGTTTTATCGCGGATTATATTACCACAATTCGAATATTAAAAACGCAAATCGAGATCGCTTAACTTACGGCTAAAATCGTGCGCGATTCCTCGCGATATCGCGCGCTCTCCACACCCACGGTGGAGTGTGGAGTGTTAGAAGTTAGCAATAATAGTAACAATAGTAGCAGCGGTAGGTAGGTAATAGTTAAGTGTAGCTTCTAGCGGTAGTAGTAATAGTAGTAGTATAGTTAGTAACGACATTAGTAATTAATAATAGTAGTAGTAATGATAACCATAATAATAATATTCAGTAGCGCTAGTAGTTGTGTAGTGATAAATAGTAACGGTAATCATATTAATAGTAATAGTCCTGCGGTGTGTGTTGATAATAGCACTAACGATGATCGCCGGTTCCTTCGGCGTAAACAATAGTAATAATAACCACGGGACTTTTCACTAACCAAACGATTACCGTACATCGAGTTTCCTAGAGCTTAATTCGCTTAACGTTTATACGGATTCGTTTTCCCGCTTCCTCCTCCCTCTCTTATTCTCCTTTCTTACAATATAGAACATATTTCCCGTTTTGCCGTGCTCGTAATAATTTTACATCTTCGCGCTGCTTTAATGCTCCCGTTAATTACATACAACGATGGTTCGATCGCAGAGCGAGATTCCTCTGCGCGTGATGCGTTTTAGTTCCTTAAATGTACAAACACCATGTAAAATTTTTCTTACGCTGTATACTCGCTAGATTCGTTTTAATGAGCATTTTTTGGAATTAACAATGCACTACTCTCCCGCCGCCTCTGCCCTCGTTATCGTTATATATAAAAAAATCTCCGGTGAGACGGCAACGGAAGATACACGTATACGTCTATACGTGGGAGGATACGTACGTGCCCGTATCTTCGTCGCGCATTTCAGCGTCGCTTAGACGCGCGCACGTCCGATCCCGGAATTTGATTTGTTTAACGCGAATGATCGTATCCGGGATCGACACGGTGATATATATCGGGAATCGAACGAACGGCGCTCAACGGGTGAAGAAACGCGTTCAGGCGATACGGGCGATGCGTGTGTATCTTCCTTTCCCTGATATCACTATTGTATCAAATGTCGTTTCTCGCAAGTGTGCCATTCGAGACCGCATATTGTGCCTCGTCTCCAAGCTCCAATCTCTACGCGACGGTTTCGTTCCGGCGCGGCGGCCGATTTCACGACGGCGGCGTCGCGACGCGCCCTCGGATTTTCTCTCTTCGTCTTCCCGTCTTCTCGTGTCTTTTATTCGATTGGCCGACGCCGTTACACTCGTATATACTTATCGATTACGTGGCGCGCGTGTGAGATGAGAAAATTATGCTAGATCGGACGCCCTGGGTGAATCTTCCGTCGATCGACCGCGCCGCCTCGAAATTGTCGGTGACCCCCGTATACGATGTCGATCGTTCCAGCGACTCTGCAAGGCCCGTTTACACCGCAGATTTTTTTTTTAAGGATGTCGCATCGAAAATTGATAGGGTAGAAAAATTTGCAGAAAATTTGAGGAAGAGATTGCTCGAAAGAATAAAATCGCTTGGTTTAACAAAGCACGTTCAAATGGATACCAAGCCGACTAAGTAAATTACTATAATTAAATTACTAATTATTTATTGAATCAGTGATTATGAATTATAGTGATTCAACGATTCAGTGATCACGAATGCAACTCGAATTATTATAAATGTTACAGTCCGCGTTTCTCTCTCGGTTACATTGTGTCCAAGCGCTACCTACACTTCTGCATTGTGTTACATTTTTTAGCAATATTTTAATTAGATGCTATAAGCAAGTAGTTGTGATTTTAGGATAACCTTTCGCAACGATTACTCTATCAACATTCCTAGCAGCATCGCGTCGTAAAATCGGCATGGTGTAAACGGCCCTTCAAGCCTCTCCTCCCTGCGTGCTCACGAAATACTCTACTCGCGATTCGTTGTGCTCGAAATTGTTCCTCGCGTCGCGCGATTGTTCCTCATCCCGTTTACCGTCGCGTGCGTCCCGAGGATCACACACAATTGTATCACAATTCCTTCTCGTCCGTGTGCGTTTTTTTTTTCGTGCTCTCCGCTGAGCGCCGTAGACTCTACTTACGTTCCCCCCGCGAAATGATTGTCGGCAATGATCGATAATCACCTGAATCACCCTCCTCGGGAAAAACGAATTCGCAATGATTTTCGGTTTGATTTGATTTGCTCGGTGGACTCTTCCCGCGCCAGTGGATCGCCGCGGTGGTTCGGTGGGCGATGATTTACGATCATCCACATGAGATTCTGGAACGATCGACGATCCCGATCGGTATCGCGATCGACTATCGTCGACGATCCAATTTGCGTATCTGGCTTTGATGAATACACCGTCGCTGCCTCACATCTAAGCAGTTCATCAGTGGACGTTGTAGTATACGTGTAATTGTGTTTTCAGGTGTGTATGTGTGTGCGTGCGTGCGTGCGTGCTATGACACTGTTTAGCCGATGACACTGTTCACTCCTGTGTACCAAACAGATCGCTTGTAGGATGTACTTAAGTCCCCACGCCACGCGAACGTTTACTCGTTTATGTTTACATATTTATCTGAGTATTTAGTCGGAACACCTTCGACACGTTATTCATCACTTTTTGTGTATCATCTCTCTTTTGCGTCGTATGAACGACGCGATTACATATCACTCTGTCATTCCGTACAGCTTCGTTAAATGAGGCAGGGAGAGCGGGGCTAGGAACGGGGATGTATGCCAAGACCTTCGACGACTGCGATTTAACGTTACGCTTTGCCACAAGTATCTTGCTAAATACGCGAATTTTTATGTATCCGTGTTGTACTGCGGGTACTGCGTTAACTCCACGATATTATCAACTACATAGCGTAATATTAAAGAAGAAAAATGATATTTTTTGGGAAAACAAAAATTAGTTGTTCATTTAACAGTTGTTTAATTAATTGCTCATTATTACAAGACTTTTCTGAATTAATATTAACCATTTATTTGCTCATTACGGCAGTTAAAAAGTCTTGTAATATTTATTTATTTTACGTCTACATATCACGGAACTGATTTTCTCCCGAGATTAGTGCCATTAAACTGTGCAACGGGACATAAGCCTTCTGCAGATAGTAACTACCATGATGATAAAATACGAACGTAATTTGAAGTTTCTCTTAAATGATATGAGATCATCAAAACGTGCTCGTGTATATCGCCGATGGAATATACAACGTAGAAAATTAACTGCAATAATCCGGGTGAAACTCGTTTGTATAAATGAAATCCCGGTACATACAATCCTCATGTGACGTACGCAATAACGAGCGGATCCACGAATCGGCAATTAGTCGCGCGTGATTAAAAAGCACCGACTCGCCCGACGATAAGTTTACGTTAATAAGGCCTTCGGAGGATTCCCAGCATCCGCCTCAAGGGTTAATTATTTGATGAGCTCGCTCGAGGTTACAAGTTTACTTTTATACCGCTAGCGAGACAGCGACGATCGCGGATGATCAACCACGGCATTACAAATATCACATGCTCTGACATGCGATCAATAATGAATTGAAACTTATTTCTTCTTCCGTTTATTATTTTTCTTTTTAAATGAAATAGTTTCTCGATCAAAAAAAAAAAAGAAACAGCGCACAAGTATAAAATTGATTAATTATTGCAAAAATTTTTGCATAAAATTAAAATTATTGCATAAAATTAAAAATTATTGCATAAAATTAAAAATTATTGCATAAAATTATATTACGCGACTATGGGATCTTTAAGCCATCGAAGAGTCAGACCTTTGATTTTATTTTCTCACCGACGAGCCGTAGAAAATCCGTTTTGGCAAAATGCGGAGTGGAAGTGTAACGACCTGTTAGAAAAGCGTGACATAATTTGGGAAGCTCGGCCACTTTAAGCCACAGTCGTCGAGAGGTTTTGACAAGCGCGAAGTCGAGCAACGAGACTATACGATCCACCGAGATATAAATCGTCGTCGCGGTAGGCATGGCCCCCATAAATGTGTGTTACGTCGATCGCTCTCGCAGCGCTCGATCACGATCCACGACGGATTTACCGAGGTCCTTGAGGACTCGAGTTTACGCGTGACTCTGTACGGAAAGCAGGGGTGGTCCAACTTGACAGTTTTTTTTTATTCTTGTTTCCTTTTCTTTTTTCTTTATTTTCTTTCCGCGGTTTGCTCGCCTTCGTCACGTTCGCCTCTCTGGTCTCCGCGTGTGCGCGCGTGTTCGCCTCGCCGGTTTTACGCTGCGTGCTCGTGCGGCACCGTACGATCCGGACGAATGGAGCGGCCGATCGATCGATTGACCCTCTTCCGCCGATCGGCTGAATAAGCGACGCGTCGACCGCTCTCTTGTGCGCTTGTATATCTTTCGCGTATACACACATATACACATACACACACACACACACACACACACACACACACACACACACACACACATATACACATACACACGCGCACGCACACACGCACGCATACATACACCCGCGTGCACACAACACACAAACACACGCGCACCCCGTGATACGCGGTGTGAAAATATTCGGCAGGTTTTGCGGAAGCGCGGGGGGAGAGGGGGAGGAGGGACAAATCGCTTGTGATTTCGCGTACGTCAACTTTCGAGCGCATGATAATAGGAGGGTTTTGTAACGTGGGAGGGGGGGGGGCGAGGGAAACGTGGAAAAATATATCGAGCGTGTGGAGGGTCGATCGCGCGATCGTTCGATCGGCGCAAGTTTCGTTCGCGCCTTGTCGCGGGCTTGCCCTTTAGGAGAGACGCTAAATCGCGGATCCGCGGATCGTGCATCGAAGGGAAGAGGAAAAATTCTCGTCGAAACGAAACAAACGGTGCGGCTCTCGCCAATTGGTCGCGGGTACCGCGCGCGCGTTCACCCTGTCGATCGTCCAGGCCGCACAAAGGTTGAACACCCCTGACTTGAGTTTCTATTTGGCAGTATATTTATTTTTTTTTCTTAAGTCCGTCTCGGCTCCCTGCGAGAGACCCTCGACAGAACGCAGCGTTAATTAATTACGACTCGGTCGTAACGCGCGTGCGTGCGTGCGTGCGTGCATGCGCGCGCGCGCAAAGCGACTAACAGTAATTATCGTTAATTATTATTCTCATTATTATAAGAAATATTATCGTTATTGTTACTATTATCGAAAGGCCGCAACAACGCTCTTCCGAGGACTGCGCGATCTCCTTTGTCTCGTGACACCGGTCGACTTGTCGCGCGTCCCTTCCTCGCGAGGTCCCATCGGTTGTCGCACGAGATCGACCCCCGATCGCCGAAACGACAGTCGGCAGCGATCGCCGGTCGATATCACGATCGACGGAAGCTCGCGAAATTAACGCAATTAGATCCGCTCGACAGCGCGTGCTTGCCTCTCTTTCCCTTTTGCCTGCACCTACCTTCGTTTTACGACGATCTAGAGGTAGATCCTCTAAATCTCCGTCCAGCTCGCGTCGCGCGTCGACTACCTACCGATTCTGCACTAGAAACGTTAATTAAGTCACTTAAACGAAATAACGCAGCCGTAACGGAGCGTGACGTCGGCGATCGGATCCTTGTTCCCATTCCTCTCGTGTTTATCTCTTCTTAAATCCAGAAACGTTTTTCCCAGGCGTGTCCTCCTCTCCGCTAAAGAGCTGCGAGACGACGCCCGTTGTTGCCCGCCGCTGCCGGAAGCTGATCTTCCTCCCCGTGGCTTTTCCTATGAACGTCGTCGGTGGTCTCACTCTAGCTTTTGCCTCCCTTCTGCGTCTGAACGAAAGCACGTCGCGAAAAGGAACTGGGCGCACACGAACCGGGCGGTGATTCCCAGCTGTGAGGAATCCGAGAACGCGAGAAACGCGTTTTCCCTTGTTCCCTCGGGAGGGGCGAGTCCGCAGAAGGGCGCGAAAGGGGCTAACGAGTCCGTCTCTCTTTTTGTTTTCTTCCGCGCTTCCCCCGCTTTCATTTCGACGTGCTCCGTAGCCACCTCCTCGAATCGTGCCGGACGTCGTTTCCTGCGAAGGGGAGAGAAGAAAGCGCGAGTATAACTGACGATATGTCTGACTATTGACTTCTGAGGAATTGACATTGGGGTGGGGGAATTCCGAGATGTACCGGACTGATCGATTTTAGTGAGCTTACTTTGACATTAAGCTCAGCCGGGCTGGCTTTTAGTTCCAGCAATTCTAAAGCTCCGCGAGTATATAACTTTCATTGAGATCTCTCTCTCTCTCTCTCTCTCTCTCTCTCTCTCTCTCTCTCTCTCTCTCTCTCTCTCTCTCTAATATATTCCGATAACTTAAAAATTTTCAACCGACGAACGCCGTGCAGTTATAAGCTCGAGGAAATTAAGAGAAATATTGAAGAGTAATCAGGCCGAACATTTTCTGGATCAGCGTAAAAGCAAGAGAAAATACAGAAATTATTTTAACTTATATTTTGTTCGCAGCATTTTTATATTTAAAAAAAAATGCGAGAGAGCCGAATGGGCAAAAACTCATTAACATTTTAATTTTCTAGACTATAATGATGTAATTAAAACAATGAATATTTCTGTACGTGAGCTGTTATTTGATGAATATTAAAACTCGCGTAATTTAATAGATAGTTATATAAGCGAGTAATTAATATTCTTTGTTATACTAATCACATTTAGCTCGGAGCTATCGTACTATTTAAAGCCAATTTTCGTTAATCAAGCAACGAGTGTTCCAATACTTGAAATCATGTAATCGAATGGTTGTATATCCGGGTTAATGCATAAATAATTGCGCTCCGGAGGTACGTACGTACCGGCAATTAGCGCGACGAAATTGCGCGATAGAGACATTCGCGTTGGCGCGATTGGATATTTTCAGCGCGCGCGACGGCCAATGAGCCGAGCTTGTTACACCGGTGCTTGTTAACATTTCCACGCAGTATTAACTGCGTTATGGTCATCTGACCCACGTCATTCGCACGTAATGATCGCGGCCTGTTCGGTCCGTGTGGTGCGAAATTTACATGCCGATTTCGGTTTCTCGACCGAATAACTAACAGTGCGCGAATTAAGCGAAATCCCGACAAGTAAGCTATCGAGCACGGTAATTTTGGCACAAGACGACACAAGAATAAGCGCAATTATGAGGGTATAATTATATGATAAAATATATAACTTATATTCTTACCGAATATTCCAGGAGGCGCTATCCCTGGCATGTTTCGTGTATTTTTTTTCGGTTTGCCCGAGCAGTCTATTACTGGACGATTATGTGTGGCGCGCGACACAGTATCACCACCGTAGCCAAAACCGTGAATAACGTGAAGACGAACAGGCAAACCCTTGATTTCACAACGGAGAAATTAGAACATTAGTCCCATAAGTCTTAAATGCTTTAATAACAGATCAGACTAAAGAGATAAAATAATAAAATCTATTTTATTGTGCGTGTATGAAGAACGATAAATTCAAAATTGGAAATAAAAAATATTAAAGCATATATATAATATACATATAATCGAAATTGAATGTGTTAATTCCAGTCGATATATTATTTAAAAAATAAATAATTTCCTTATAATTCGAATTATTGAGGAAACAAGTTTCGGTTAATTAAACTCATGTGATAATTGCAGTCCAAATAAATGAAATTATTAAATAAAGGAATTTTGAGCAGCTGAAACGAATAAGTTCAGCTACTCATCACGTAATGGATTTGCCCGGCGAATCGAACCGGGGTATAAATGACGGACAGTTTTTCTCGTGCGAGGATCTGAACCTCGGGCTCCGCTGTAAAAGCTATCTCCGTGATTTTTCGCGAGAGAGACGCCGGGCGCTGCGGCGCGCGCACGACTGAAACCACATGAAAGATTTAAAACATCCAACCTGTCGACCACCATGGCGGCGAATTTCCAGTCGCTAATGACTTCGTCATCCTCATCCGCCTTTTTCATGCGGTTCGTAATGAACTGCAACTCCTTGAGGATTGTGTGAAGTTCCCTCTGCATGCCGCTGAGAGGCAACGACGCCGAAGTCTCCTCGACCGTCGCCGGTCTGCTCGACAGCGGCGTCCCGTACGCCGACCTGCTGTAAAAGATCATGTAAATTATTACTCTCAAAAGTGTCACAACGTTCTCTCTCAAGACCCAGCAGTCGTCAACAGGCGTTTTGCATGGGTCCTTGGAGAGCTCGTGAAATTCCGGCTTTTCAAAGCGTCAAGAGTTATTGTTATTGAAATAATTATTGAAATAATCCGTCTCTTGATTATACATAAGATAATGCAAAGTCAAATGCGATAAATGCTGAAGTCTTATGTTCGATGCGAGACAAAATTGCTATGGCATTTTACACTTTGCATTACTTACGTACATTTTTCTCTTCAATGATTAATTCGAGGATTAATTGCGAACTATGTATAATTATACTTTTGAATATTTTCATTTTCGCGTTATATTTTATATAGTCAATTGATTCAGTGCTCATTGAAGATTACAATCTGGAATAAATGATTTTCTTCCTTGTGTGAGGTAATATACTTGCAGGATACAAGACACTTTGTAATCAAAAATCCAGTGAACGTGTCTCAATGTTTTTTTTTTTAACAATATAGGTAAAGAATTTGAAAATATATTAAAATTATCGCGCTCTGCATTCGAATTGGACCACTATGTCACAGAACTCGATTATCGGTTTTCCGTGATATAGAGAAGAGCGAAGAAAAGACGAAGGAGAAAACGGATTGCTCGGTGAAAATCATGCGGCAAGCCAGAAGTGATTATTGAAGGGTCGCGCGAAAAAAAAATGTTAGGATGGAATATTTTGTTAACGATTCGACCCGGGGGGAGGGGGGGGGAGTGGAATAGGGGAAGGAAAAGAGAAGGCCGCAAAGATCTCGTGGGAAAACACACGGAAATCCGGGGTACGGTAGATTGAGTCGGCGTTTATTCGCGAAAATCTCGATATTCGATTCCGGGCGGCACAACCGTCGCGGCCGTTTTAAGCGACGGCCGACGGATTTCGGACGAGCGGATCTCTCCCGTCCGCTCGCAGTTATCGCAGAGCAAACATGACGTGTACCGTCCCGTAATCATTTTGTGTGCGCAGCCCCCGTGTCTTCGATTTTCCCCCGGTAGAGCTGCAAAATAGCGTCGAGC